CACCAGTGTGGCTTTATTCAGTTAAGGATTCACCCAAACCAAATGTACATCCCTAGTTCCAGCACATCTCTGCTTGAAATCTACAGAGGATACAGGTTTTGTTATCTTCTGGATCTCAACTGTATCGGATGTTCGGTTGAGAACTTTGGACTAGATAAGAAACACTCCACTCTGTGTGCAAGAATATGACCTGCGGGAAATCACAAGTATCATCTAAAGTGAAAATTCATGGCAACTCTGAGGATTTCTGTTCAGGAGAAACTTCAGGATAATTCACAGAAATCAAAGAGTTCTCCATTTCTTTTTGTTTTCAATTTGTTACTAAAGGACAATTTTAACTTAAACCAGCTTTTGAGAGCACAGTCCTGTTCTTGTTTACGTAGATGTCAGTTGCATTCAATTCAGTGTAAGCCTGATTAGAATTGCAGCCTAAATAAATGCAGAGCTGTCATATTTGAATATTGGCAGAGTTTCATCTTAAACTCTGAATATGCTTTTTTGAGGAGATGCAGGAAAGTCATGAAAATAAGGATCCATGGGTATTTGGATAATATAGTCTTTAGGATAATTAAGAGTACATTGGGAACGTTTAAATGGATAAAGATATTAAAACATTACATCAAACAAGATGCTATTTTATTACCTTCATCTCTATGAAGCTATATTTAAACATGATGCTCATTTTGTATTTTCGAAACAGCATGCACACTAGATTAAAATGAGCTTGTAACGGTAATGTTTTGTTTCAGCGCTGTACAGGGATGCCAACAGGATTTCCTGGTTCCAGTATGAGCTCCCAAAATGCATGCATGTGTGGCAATCACACAGGGTCCCCGGACGTTTCACTGTCTATTGATCCCTGTGCCACCACTTTATTTCTCCCTGCCACCTCCCAGGCCCTACCTGGTACAATACTGAGTCCAGTCAAGGTTAAATTGGAACATAAACTTTTGTTTATTTATTGCAGTTTAACAAGCGTATGTTTTCATAAACGGTATCAGTCAATTACAATGATGGGGTACCTATCGAGACCTATAACTTCCGCTACTTGCTCTGACTCACTAAATAATAATAATAATAATAATAATAATAATAATAATAATAATAAATTATTATTTATACCCCGCCCATCTGGCTGAGTTTCCCCAGCCACTCTGGGCGGCTCCCAATCAAATGTTAAAATCAACCGCCTCTCTGATATTTACTTGTCTTCCTAGCCCCTAACTGTTCCTGACTCAGCTTATTTCGCTACACTAACTCAACCTACCCACAAACTCTATCCCAATTCACTCCCACTCCAACCAACCACCCAACGAACTCCTCCCTTTGCCCCTCCCAGAGCTGGTTTTATAGTCCCTCTGACTCCACCCCCCTGGGTCCTGATTGGGTAACCTGTTTAACTATTTCACCTCCAGCACTCTCATATGTTAACGTCACAGCATGCACACACACTTTACTGGCTAGTTCTGCTGTTTATGTTCATATGTTAAATTAGCTTAGCTTACCTCACAGGGCTATTGCAAAGATAAAATGAAGGAGGGTAATGTAAACTTCCTTGAGCTCCTGGGATGTATCATAGAGTGGTAGAATTGTAGAAGGGACCACGAGGGTCATCTGGTCCAAGCCCCTGCAATGCAGAAATCTTTTTGCCCAAGGTGGGGCGTGAATGCATGACCCAGAGATTAAGAGTCTCATGTTCTACCAACTGAGCTATTACCCTCCTCTCCCCCATTTTAGGGACACAGGTGGCGCTGTGGGTTAAACCACAGAGCCTAGGACTTGCTGATCAGAAGGTCGGTGGTTCGAATCCCCGTAACAGGGTGAGCTCCCGTTGCTCAGTCCCTGCTCCTGCCAACCTAGCAGTTCGAAAGCACAAAGTGCAAGTAGATAAATAGGTACTGCTCCGGCGGGAAGGTAAATGGCGTTTCCGTGTGTTGCTCTGGTTCGCCAGAAGCAGCTTAGTCATGCTGTCCACATGACCCAGAAGCTGTACGCCGGCTCCCTTGGCCAATAAAGCGAGATGAGTTCAGTTCACACTGTAGTACTGGAACCAAGAGATCCTATACAATGTTATAAGATTCGGCCTGCCAGACTTCCCTAAATTCCTGGACCCAGTAAGTGTTAGACTTTAATCATATTTTGTATTTGCCATTTGGGGAGGGGATTATTTAACGTCTATCCACACTTCTTGTGTAGGAGTATTTGCAGAAAACATATTCCAATGAATACCTGATCTTAGATGAGCCAACCACAGGACAGAAATATGGGCGGGGTAGAAATAAATTATGATGATGATGATGATGATGACTTGGTGGAAAGGAAGGGTATGGAGATTCCAAGGACTTTTGGGAAATAAAACAGAACTGTAAAAAACGCACTAAATGGGAGGAGAAAACAGAAGCTCTTATGATCCCAGGGATTCCTGTTGCCTCATGTCCAAACAACTCACTTAGCAACCACAGTTCTGACTTCACTCATTGGATAAAACAGTGTTACGTGACAGCAGCTTGGCTGGCTCATCCCACAGAAATTTCTTAGAAGAATACCTGCACATGTTGCTTCATACCTGCCATTCTTGGAGGGCTGTTCCTCTGAATATTTCTGGAGATAAAAAAGCACCCTGCACATGACTACAAGTCAGATCAAGCAGTGCAATTAATCTTTTTAGTTAATTCAAATCAGCACATTTTTCTGGTTCATTTTGAAATCTCTGATATCTACATATGACCTTTCCTTTTTTATTAATACTTCATTGGAATTTTGCATTGTGGCCAGTGGAAGATAAAGATAATTTACACAGATGTGACAGAAAGTTAGGCAAGCAGCAGTAAACTCCAGTCTATTCACTGAATCTTCATGTAACTTTTACTTGACCTACCAATTTCGTTTTTAAAAAGCTGTGTACATTTTGTGTCTCTGTTAAAAAGATACACACACACATGAATGAAATCACCTTATTTCTGTACTTTTAAATTGCTTTTAAATTGTTTTTAATATTGTGTTGTGTTTTAATTATTGTAGCCTGCCATGGGACCTTAGTGTGAAGGGTAATAAAGTATTATTATTGAATGCCATCTTCATCATCTGCATTTTATTGTTCAAAAAAATCTCAGAGCGGTGTATCAAGGAAACACAAGATAATAAAATATGGCAAAAGCATCAAAATTGCAGCATATAAGTCTTTTATAAACTGCCTCCAATGTGATACTTTTTCAGATGCACTGTAGGTGAAAAAAGAGTGGCCTCCATTTTTTTAAAAAACAAGAGATGGTTGATGTAGGGCAATACTTCTGAAGGGACAGTGTCCTTGGTGAACATATTGGGTTGTCTCCAATTCAGAGTAGATCCATGAATAACAATGGACCTAAGTTAGTCATGCCCATTACTTTCAATAGTTCTACTCTGAGAGACTAAAATTGGACACAACCCCCCTTGGTCATGTGTAGGTAGGAAAGTATGGATGGAAGAAAGATGCAGAAAGCATGCATGCTGAAATCTGGTAATTAGTTTGTTGTTGTTTTCAAAAAATGTCATAAATAACTTGAAATTTTGCAAGAGCATAATCCTGGCCACAGTTAGTCCATAGAATAATAAAGTTACACAATGAGGGAGATCTGCTGATCCCTAGAAACCACTTGCAGTATTAGCATAGAGGCCAAGCTTGCATGAAGCTTTCCCACTAGGTAAAAAAAAGGTAAAGGATTCCTGGATGGTTAAGTCCAGTCAAAGGCGACCATGGGGTTGCGGCACTCGTCTCGCTTTCAGGCTGAGGGAGCTGGCGTTGGTCCACAGACAGCTTTCCAGGTCATGTGGCCAGCATGACTAAACCACTTCTGGCACAATGGGACACCATAACAGAAACACAGGCGATGCTGTGGTCTAAACCACTCCCTCAGGCAAGGCCTCTTTCCACCAGCCTTGCCCCACCCTCCAGCCTTAGGAGTCCTCATAAGGGAGCTGGTCCTGGAGGAAGAACTGTGAGGGGAGAGACTCCATCAGGCAAGGCCTCTTTTCACCTGCCTTGCCCCACCCTCTAGTCTCTGCTTCTCAATTTGTATTGTATTATTTTATGTACCGTGGCTTGCCATTGTTTTATTGATTATAGTTTAGAAATTATTTATTATAACTGCTGAGTGGATTTCTGTTTAACTTTTGTATGTTATTCTTATTATTTAATACTATTCTAAGGATTGTTGAATGATACTTTTTTGATATAGGTTACTTATTTTAAAGTTACGTTTTATTATCACATTTTTGTATTGCATTAGATTGTTATAAGATGTATATTTTTTTGTTTCTTCAGCTTGTAAACCGCCTTGAGTATTGTAAGATAGAAAGACGGTACACAAAATAAAAATGTTGAATGATGATCATCAGCCTCTTGGGTTTGCTGATCAGATGGTCAGCAGTTCGAATCCGTGCAATGAGATGAGCTCCTGTTGCTCTGTCCCAGCTCCTGCCAACCTAGTAGTTCAAAAGCACGCCAGTGCAAGGAGATAAACAGGTACCGCTGTGGCGGGAAGCTAAATGGTGTTTCTGTGCACTCTGGTTTCCCACTTTGAGGAGCACAGAGTAGAGGCTGAATTCAATACAGTGGCTTCATGTTTCAGAGCTGTTCCAAAGCACACAGTTTGAGAATCGTGGCTTGAGAGACTGGGGAAGTATTGACACCATTACTTTCCCACAATACGGTTGTGCATTTTTTCCAGGTACCGGGGCAGATTGGGTTTGCTGCTGTCATTAATGTGAATGAGAAAAGACAAGGCATCATTTATGTGAAGCCACTCAGGGAATAGGCATGAGTCATTAAAATTTTCAGAAATGGTGAGTGTGTTTTTTTCTCTCCCTCCCAATAAAGCAATAACTCTAAACTAATTACAGCAATCTAAGCAGTCCTCTACTCCACTGATATTAACATTCATTGATCCTTTGCATTTAATCTTTATTTGTCTAAATGCAAAATGACATTTATTGCACAAAAATAACAGTAAATTGTGCAAGCCTGGATCTCTGGATAATTAAAGGAGTCAGATGAGATTGGCAGGATTTTGAGAGAAAGGATGTCCAGTATGGTGTTGTTGAGCTAGAGGACATCTTGATTAATAACCTTCAGGAGAACACATAATTTCTTTACCTTCTGGGCTGTTCTGTTGTATTTAGTGGAATTTAAGGCTTGGGGAGAGAATAATATAAGTAATAAAAAGAGCTCTACTGAGTCAGACTAAAGGCAGAGTAACCCAGTAGCCTGTTTTCTGTGGTAGCCAACCCAGTTTCTCTGGCAGAAACTCCAGAAGCAGGATACAGTTGTTACTGAGCAACTGGTATTCATTATGCCTTCATGGCTTTGAAGTATTCTTTTATATAAAGTTTATATGCCAAAATGACTTCTAAGTGGTTTACAACTATAAAATCAATGCAGAATTAAAATGCACAATAATAGATCCACTGCGACATTAAAACATCCTCAATTAAAAATACAACAGACAAACAATTTAAAAGCATAACAATTAAAACAGTTAAGAAACAGTTAACAAAATTAACTATCTTGTTGAACAGTGTAAAGAGTTCTTTGGGGCTGACAAGGTCAAAAGTCTTTGTCAGATCTACCAAGTCAATGTACAAGGGGCATCCCTAGATGTTACTTATCCCAAATTTATTGAGAGACTTTGGAAGAGACAAATGTTTTAAGGGGGTATCATGCACAGAAAGGGTGAGGGAGTCCCATCGTTGTCCGATGATAATCATTGTTGTGTCATATCATGTCCACTGAGGTGATTGAAATTTAAGGTAACATATGCTGGTATATGAGTCAAAAAGCCACAGTTTCAGGTACTGCCATGTGGAAACAAAATTGGAGAGGATTATAGTGGAACCTCAGTTGTCGAACGCTTCAGAAGCCAAACAATTTGGAACCCAAAGGCCAATAACCCGGAAGTGAATGCTTCCATTTTCGAAAGCGCCCCACAGCTTCTGAGGCATGTTTCTCCATTTTGTTAAAGGAATTTTCCCACCGGCAATTGCGCCTCAGTTGTAGAATGTTTCAGAAGTTGAACGGACTTCTGGAACAGATTACGTTTGACAACCGAGGTTCCGCTGTATTAGCATTATAATCAGGAAAACAAATACAATATTCCCCAAGACTGAATGCACACTAACTTAAGGCTCTTTAAGGCTCTCTGCTGTTTTTCTTTGCCAGCCACATCCCTTCCTCAGCAGTTCCAAACTATTCACTCTCAAACAGGTTTTCTCCATGCCTGGCATAAGGAAAACAGAGTGACTCCACCAATAATTCCTGCTGGATTGTGTAAGGTTGAGTATAGCAATAATTCAACAAAACAGTAATGCCAGCATCATCTGACGTCCAGCCATCAAGAAGCACTTACCATAGCCCAAAGTTACAAAGCCAACATAAAAAACAACAACCCTAGAATTTAAACTGCTGTTTTTGATGATTGTGTGAGCATATCCAAAAGGAAGGCGTGGGTGAGTGGAGGGAGTGTGGGGGACATGCTCAACAAAACAAATTAGACAAATCTGCTGGAGCTTCACTGCCTTAGGGAGACACAAAACGTTGCACAATGCATGGAGCAAAAACAACACGGAAATCAAACGCATGACAAACGCAAGCAGCGAGGCATAGAACAGGAAAGCTGTCCCCCAAAAAGGATGTGTTGGTCAGGAACGACAAAAGAGAAGAGAAAATGTTGCCCTCAAGCTATGAACATGCTGCCAGAAGTCATCAGACTTAATCTGCAATAGAGTGGGCTACTGTGAAAAGTAGGGCCAAGCAATGTGGGGGTGGGGTCTATGCTGCCTCTGAAACACTCCTAGGTTGGGATGCTTCAGGAATTACAAATTATGATAGGAACTGGCCTGATTTGCTGTTCTGCCCCAGATTAATATGTAGCATCACTAAGGCCAGCTCTACCATTAGGCAGAGGGACATGGGTGGCGCTGTGGGTTAAACCACAGAGCCTAGGACTTGCCGATCAGAAGGTCAGTGGTTCAAATCCCCGCAACGGGGTGAGCTCCCATTGCTCAGTCCCTGCTCCTGCCAACCTCGCAGTTCGAAAGCACGTCAGTGCAAGTAGATAAATAGGTACCGCTCCAGCGGGAAGGTAAACGGCATTTTCGTGCGCTGCTCTGGTTTGCCAGAAGCAGCTTAGTCATGCTGGCCACATAACCTGGAAGCTGTATGCCAGCTCCCTCGGCCAATTGAGATGAGCACCGCAACCCCAGAGCCGGCCACAACTGGACCTAATGGTCAGGGGTCCATTTACCTTTACCATTAGGCAGAATGAGGCAACCACCTTAGACAGCATGGTTGAAGGACAGAGCTATATTTGCTACACAGCCCCTCTTGCGTACAGGAGCTGCTTGAAGAAGGCATACAAAGTGCCATCCAACAGTCTTAGGGACTTCACTCTAAATTTGTGTAGGGTTTACTCTTTATTCTTTTCCACTTCTGAAGGTATCTCATAAGGCTACGGAGAATAAAACAATAAAAAGTAGTCATAAAACCAAACAGAAGCCTGGACATTACAGTGGTACCTCAGGTTAAGTACTTAATTTGTTCCGGAGGTCCGTACTTAACCTGAAACTGTTCTTAACCTGAAGCACCACTTTAGCTAATGGGGCCTCCCATTTCTGCTGCGCCGCCGGAGCATGATTTCTGTTCTCATCCTGAAGCAAAGTTCTTAACCTGAAGCACTATTTCTGGGTTAGCAGCGTCTGTAACCTGAAGCGTATGTAACCTGAAGCGTATGTAATCCGAGGTACCACTGTACCTAAAAATGCCTACTGGAATAAGAGTTGCTCATACATATCTGGTGGACCTGTGAAAAAATCAAAAGCTTCTGGGATATAGTATATGATGAACTTTTAAAAAATGTTTAATTATAACTTTGTGAAAAATACAGAAGCTTTCCTATTGGGAATAACAGACACAGGTATAGCAAAGGAAGATCGGAAAACATTCCTTTATGCCACAGGCAGGGTGAGGACCTTAATTACCAGAAATTGGAAAAAAGAATTTGTGCCAACAAAAAAGGAATGGCAGGATAAATTATTATATTATACTGAACTGGCCAGATTAACAGAGGCAATTAGGGGACAACCCAGACAAGAATTTCAAAAAGAATAAGGAAAATACAGAGAATACTTTACCAAACAGTGCCCCAAAATATATACCTGGACTTGTTTCGATTAATTTCTACAGGAGACTTTGTGGTTTTTTAAGTCATAACTAGGAAAAATTGTAATAATCACATATAAAAGAAACAGTATACAAGAAGTAATTAAGGAGGCCACTTACAGGATGAAGGAAGTCTTCTATTTTGATGTTTGTTTTCTTCATGTAAGGGAATAGGAGTTTAATTTTGATAATGAAATTGTCAATGGTGGTGGGTTTGTTTGTATGTATGAGTTGTTGTGGACTATGTTGTAAATAAATTATTAATTATTATTTTTTAAAGAGTTGCTTTGTCATGCACTTGAAGTTCAGCAAGGAGAGTGCTGAAACAAATAAATTCTTCAAGATCCCTAGTTGGGTTCAGCAACACCTGGTGGATCACAAGTTTCCCATTGTTGATATAAAGCAAAGAAAAAGTATAACAACAACAACAACAATTTATTTATTATTTATACCCCGCCCATCTGGCTGGGTTTCCCTAGCCACTCTGGGAAGCTCCCAACAGAATTAAAAGCACAAAAAAATCAAACATTAAAAACTTCCCTAAACTGCGCTGCCTTCAGATGTTTTCTAAAAGTCAGATAGTTGTTTATTTCCTTGACATCTGATGGGAGGTCGTTCTACAGGACGGGGCGCCACCACCGAGAAGTCCCTCTGCCTGGTTCCCTGTAACCTCACTCCTTGCAATGAGGGAACCACCAGAAGGCCCTTGAAGTTGGACCTCAGTGTCCAGGCTAAACAATGGGGGTGGAGACGCTCCTTCTGGTATACGGGGCCGAAGCTGTTTAGGTCAGCACCAACACTTTGAATTGTGATCGGAAATGTACTGGGAGCCAATGTAGGTCTTTCAGGACTGGTGTTATATGGTCTCGGCGGCCACTCCCAGTCACCAGTCTGGCTGCCGCATTCTGGATTAGTTGTAGTTTCCAGGTCGCCTTCAAAGGTAGCCCCATGTAGAGTGCATCCTCTTACTTAGTGTGCAGGCTGTGTAGCCCTAAGCGTGGGAATTTAAGCGCGTGAGTTTGTTGAGCTCAGCCCAAACCACTATTTCACATGTTTCATAGAAGACTGCTGAGGGGATGTATGTTTGGGATTCGTCCCATACTTGCCCCCCCCCCCAGTTCAGTGGAACTGAGGGAGGCAAGATAGGGTGTGGTAGAGCAACATGGCACTGTGGCAGGAACAACTGTGAGAGGTAATCTTGATGCTTGTTTTTCTGTATCACCCATTCCCAAATTCCCCTGAGCTCCTGTCCAGACAGCAAGAATTTTAAAAATCTCCCTCTTCCTTTCTTCCCCCATCATCATTCCACCTGCTTTCAACATCAGGTGCTAGTCATCTGCCACAAAATTTCATCAAATTTCAATTTTCTACCCATGTAGGTCTTTCCCGGAAAATGCAAAGTCTGCCCTGGTGGTTCCGATTCACCATTCCACTTAATTTATTTCTAAACCTGCTTAAATTAAACGTGACTGGGGACTTTATCCGTTCCTGCATATATGAAGTTGTCAGAGAGATCATAAACACACAGGCTCATTTGAGATATGATGAAGTACAAACAGTCAGGAAGGCATCCAGCTATATGACAGAAAGAGGTCCAGGAAAACTCCAGCTGTTTATGCAAATAGTGATACTGAGAGGCTGGCATCCTATCAAGGACCCAGGGATCAGTGGCATATTTGTATACTGTCGTCAGCATGTAATGGATGTTTACTGCTTCAAAGAGAGAGAAAAATGTGTGCTGTTCTGTAATAATTTACAGGGTTCAGAATACAGGGATGTTCAATAGTGCCTAAACTAGGATTATATAATTGAACTTGCCTGGAACTACTTGCAGTTTTCACTCGCCAGTGTTCCCCTGCATGCTTCAAAGAAAGAATTTTATTTGTTCTTTTCAAACAGAGTTGCCACCAGCTTTCTCCTAAAGTGAAATTTGAGGTGAAATTGGTAGACCCTATTTAGGAGAAACAGTTCTAGAATTTCAAGGGGAAACAAAGGAAGTTCACTGACATTAACAAAACGTTTCCAGTAAGGTAAAAGGTAAAGGACCCCTGGACGGTTAAGTCCAGTCAAAGGCGACTATGGGGTTGCAGAACTCATCTCGCTTTCAGGCCAAGGGAGCCGGCGTTTGTCCACAGACAGCTTTCCGGGTCATGTGGCCAGCATGACTAAGCTGCTTCGGGTGAACCAGAGCAGCACACGGAAACGCCATTTCCCTTCCCACTACAGAGGTGCTGTATTTTTCGCTCTATAGGATGCACTTTTTCCCCTTTAAAAATGAAGGGGAAATGTGTGTGCGTCCTATGGAGCGAAGATGCCATAGCCCCGCGACCCTCTCCCGGCTGGAGAGGTGACGCGCGGCTATGGCAGGAGCCTCTATAGCCGCGCGTCACCTCTCCAGCCGGGAGAGCGCGCGCGGGGCTAAAGCAGCCCCCCGCGACCCTCTCCCGGCTGGAGAGGTGACGGGCGGCTATGGCAGGAGCCTCTTTAGCCGCACGCCACCTCTTCAGCTGGGAGAGCGTGTGCGGGGCTAAATAAGCCATAGCTCCGCGACCCTCTCCCAGCTGGAGAAGTGACGTGCGACTATGGCAGCAGCCTCTCCACTGCGCCTTTCCGCTGCTCCCTGACCTGCTCTTTGGGGCCGGTGGTGAGCTTCCCCCCGCCAACCCCAAAGAGCAGGTTGAAAGGAACCTGAAGCCTGGAGAGCAAGAGGGGTCAGTGTGCACCGACCCCTCTCGCTCTCCAGGCTTCCAAGGTAGCCGCCTGAACGCACCTTAAACGGCACCTTGTTTTAGAGCAGGAAAAGAAGAGGGGGGAAATTCTCCCTCTCTCTGCGCAGCGCCTCCTGCCGCTTCGCTGAAGGGGCGCTGGGCAGAGAGGGGGAGATTTTTTTTTCTTGTTCTCCCCCCTCTAAAACAAGGTGCGTCCTATTGTCCGGTGCGTCCTATGGTGCGAAAAATACAGTACCTATTTATCTACTTGCAC